CAAAATTCCAGGGACAATGAAAGAAAAGATTGATAAATTTGATAATATAATTTTTTAAAAATTACATGGGAAACCACTGTAAAATATAGGACAAATAAGGGGCTTGCATTAGTCCAAGTTGTGGTACCCCGTTATTTTTAATTTATTGCCATGGTGTTCTATACAACAGAAGCGGCATGACAGTGGCTCAAGACTAGGAGATCCAATGGTTTTACCATGTTCTGTTTCCAGGAGCAGACACCCCAGTGCAGTGATGGGATAGCCTACTGAATACTCACTGAGGTAGTAGGCTGCAGATAGGACCCTGTTAGGTTGGGGAATTCTCTTCCAGGATGCAGGCCAGGCTATGGTACTGTCACCAATAGATACATTTGGTTACTTAAAAATATATAGATATCTAAAATTAAAAAATAATCTGCCAATCGGAAAGATTCTCAAGTTATGTTATTAAGTAAAAAAGGAAGGTACCAGAAGAGTGGGGACCCCATTAGCATGCATTTTAATAAGTCTCTGTGGTTTTCCATATATTAAAACTGTGGTACTATAGGCTAGGGTGCATGAGGGGAGACTTAGACTTGATATTTTTTACCTTTATGAATATTTTGAAAGTGTATCTGTTACATAAATGAAATACTTTTATAATTGAAAAAAGAATGAAGTTGAAGGACTAACAGTTATTCACAACTTTCTCTTCTTGGTGTCCTAATGGAGTACGTTGGAGGTGTGGCCATGAGGGGAGCTGAGCAAGGGAGATGGGTAGTCATGTTAGGGGTAGTGTCAGTGCACAAGGATGAGTGAAGGAAAGGTAATAGGGTGAATAACATAAAGGCCAAACACCTCTTTAAAGTATAAACATAGAATTTAGTAGCTCAGTCCACACTACTCTGGACTGTTTTTGAAATGAGGCAGAAAAGTCTGAAGTCATTGACAATTGTTATTTTAGAAAGCCATGGCTGGAGACAGTGACCTCATCATTTCAGTCAGTTTCTTTAATTACTTTTTTAAGTTTTTAATTTATTGATTTGCGAGAGAGAGAAATAAAAGAAACATGGATTTGTTGTTCCACTTGTTTGTACATTCATTGGTCAGTTCTTGTACGTGCCCTGACCGGATATTAAACCTGCATCCTTCATATATCAGGACGATTCTCTAACCAACTGAGCTACCCACTGTATCAGTGTCCCCTCTGCCATATGAGGGCCAGTGTCTTTTAAAGAGTTACGTCTGATAATGGTGGGTTTTTAGGATTTGGGGAGATTTCAGCCCAGGGCTCTGAATAATATCTCATCTTTATTTTTTATTTAAAAATATTTTATTGATTTCAGAGAGGAAGGGAGAGAGGGAGAGAGAGACAGAAACATCAATACCAATGATGAGAGAGAATCATTGGTTGGCTTGCCTACTGCATGCCCCACACTGGGGATCGAGCCTGCAATCTGGGCATATGCCCTGACCAGGAATCAAACCGTGACCTCCTGGTTCATAGGTCAGTGCTGAACCACTGAGCCACGCGGCTGTGCATCTTTATTTTTTTATGCCAATTGTCAGTATCTAAAATATAGTTTATGTGGTTATTATCTCTCTGTTACTGCTAGAACATAAGCTCCATGAAGGCAAAGACTTTGTTTAGCTCGCTGTTGTCTTCTACCCAATAATTTTAATGTTTATCCAAAGAAGACACTCAATAAATATTTGACGAATCAATAGCTGTGTTGAGATAGTTATGTGGAATTAGCTAAGGCTGGACCACAAGAGGGAAGACTTGACTCTAATTGATTTCACAGTAACTAATTTGATTTTTCTTAGTCTCACCAAGGACATGACAGGAAAGGAAGATGTGTACCGAGGCCCGGCCATCAGGGCTCTCTGCAGAATCACTGACGTAAGTTCTCTTGTGTTGCTGGGGTGTTGAGTGGGAGGGTGGGGGAGGGAGGCGGTGCGTGGTGGTGGTGTCACTGTTTATCTGCAGGAGGCCATGTGATGGAGTAGGATTCACTAGTCTGACTGTGTGAATCTTCAGTACAGGCACACCACCTCGTTTTACTGTGCTTCACAGATACTGCATTTTTTTTTTTAGACATAATGCTATTCTTACATACTTAATGACTACAGTATAGTGTAAACATAACTTTTATATACTCTGGGAAACCAAAAGAATTCACGTGACTTGCTTTATTGTGGTACTTGCATTATTGCGTGGCCTGGAACCTGCAGTATCTCTGAGATATGTCTGTGTAAGAGAAACAGGACCACCAGAAAGGCTTTTGTGGTTCCAGGCATCTTTTCTTTCAAATGGTTTTTTCCTTTTGTTTATTTAGATTAGTCTATTTCTTTCTCCGTTTGCCCTCATAGACTTTTGTTATAGCTAGGGCACATTGCTTACAGGAAACAAAAGAACATTTGAATTTAGCTTTAAAAAGAAGTGTTCTTACAAAATATAGAGTGCTCAGAATTTGAGGTAAAACTTAGAACCAGAAGCCAGCTCAAGAAAGGAACCCAGCGACAAGATTTCTTAGATACTCACTGTTATGATCCATCATTTGCCAGACTCAAGCCTCATCATTCAAATAGTTCAGGAAGACAACCTGGTTAGTCATCAGCTAGCCCAGTAGCTTGTATACACCTGTATCTGACTCAGTCTGTTACATCTGGAGAGATGAGGGTACATAGTGTGCTAGGATGTCCATTTCTTGGAACTGTGAGTAGGAAAGGTTAAAATGGAGGGCAGGCTGGGCATTGATAAATTAAATAATATTTCAGGTATACTAATGCATGGGTATATGTTTGTAACCCTCTCAAGTTTTAAAACTTGAGCAGGATCAAATGGTAAATCTGGATTCTAGAAGGAATAATAGAAATGCTTTAATCTACACTAATAAAAGAGAAACATGCAAATTGGTGTCACTGCTACGCCCACCAGCCAATCAGAGTGACTATGCAAATTAACCCAACAAAGATGGCGGTTAATTTGCGTACACAGGTGCGGAGCAAAGACTTAAGGCTCTGGGTGGATTGAAGACTGAAGACTGAAGAGGCTTGGCTTCTCTGCTGCGGCCGGGCCAAAGGCCTGGGTCCCGAGTGCCGGAGGAAAACCGGTGCCAGCAGCCAGGGGAAGGAAGGCCTATTGCGCTAATCTTCGTGCAACGGGCTTCTAGTATTTTAATAAAACAGTTACTCAACTATTTTATTGTGGTTATTTTTGTTTTTAGCATTAAGTGGGTGACATAAGACTTGATACCAGTGCTAGCAAAAGGACTCTCTTCTAAAAAACTCTTTCAGTCTGTTTACATATCTTCATGGGCCAGCACCTTTCCAGTACTAAGCTTTCTTCCAGTTAAATTAAAAAGAACTTTATTTTCAGAGGATTTTATATTGAGAGCTCACTATAGTAGTATATCAAACATTTAATTATGTATATAAAATAATCAGATTACACTTGACTTGTAAGACTCTCTGGGATCCATATAAAACAGATCCCCTTCACATAGAGCAGTGGTTCTCAATCTTCTGGCCCTTTAAATACAGTTCCTCATGTTGTGACCCAACCATAAAATTATTTTTGTTGCTACTTCATAACTGTAATGTTGCTACTGTTATGAATCGTAATGTAAATATCTGATGTACAGGATGGTCTTAGGCGACCCCTGTGAAAGGGTCGTTCGACCCCCAGGTTGAGAACTGCTGACATAGAGGAATTTTCAGGACTTCAAAAGCACCTTTCATCCTCATCTAGGAGTTTCCTTTACAACATCCTTGGTAGGTTGAACCCTGCTTATGTGTTTCCTCAAATTGGAGCTCTTCACTTTGAGACAGTTTATTTCATTGTTGAATAGTTATTTGTCTTCCTTACATATAGATGTTCCTCCTTGAAGCTCCCACTGGGTTGTCTGGGTTCTGCTGGATGGGCTATGATTGCTCTATTATATGCTAATCCTTTTTAATGCAGTCTAAGTATTTACACAGAAACTAATATATGACTGGTTTTCATAAATTATTTTGAAGTGGTAATATAGTGTGAAAATGTTTTGCTTCAACAACTTTTCTCTCTGAATTTTATTAGGGAACATTGCTGCAGGCCATTGAAAGATACATGAAGCAGGCCATTGTGGATAGAGTCCCCAGTGTATCCAGCTCAGCATTGGTGTCTTCCTTAGTAAGTGAACAAGACAGTGGCTGCCTAGTTCTTATGCATGGTACAGTTTCTAGTTGCAAAAGCAAAGTGATTCTCTCACAAGTGAAACATTTAAAAAATATGTGTATATCTCTATTACTTTATCCAAGAATATTTTGTCTGCCAGGGGAACATTGAGCAATTAAAATGGGCAGTTAAAAATATGAAATTGTCATGGGCTTGTAAGGTTTTGGTAATCAGAAAGTTATGTTTTACACATAATAAAGATGGGAGGTATGGGTCAGGGAAAGACAGGGGAAGAAACTGAGGGTTGATCTCTCATTTTTTTAAAAAAAAATATTTATTTTAGGTGGGGGGTGGGGGGGAGAGAGAGGGAGGGAGAGAGAAATTAATTTGAACCTGCAACCTTGGCCTAGAAGATGATGCTCTAACCCACTGAGCTACCCAGCCAAGGCTCTCAATCTCTTTTTTAAAAAATCTTCTGTTATGACCTGCACTTTTACCTCTTGCCTCTTGGTTCTCTACTTTCCTTCACAGTGTCCTTCAATCCAAAGTCTCCTGTCCCACTTCAAAAATTTTCTCCCAGGAAGTAGCCTATTCTTTCTCTTTTATATCAAAACAAAATTTATTACTTACAATTTCTCACACTGCATTTAATTAACATTGATTACTAATGTGTAAATGGATTTAATCATCTGAATCACAGGAGTTACCTGGTTCTGGAATATAATTGACCAAGAGAATATAGTGGTTCTCTGATTTTTTCTTCTAGGTGAGTTTCCTAGAAGTAGAACTTATAATGTTAACATTATTTAAGTACTATCCATCCCTTCCTGTCCCTCCCGTCTCCTTACTCCCTTTTACACATCTCTCTGGGACTACAGGCATATGTTACTCGCCTTTCTAGGGAATCTTGGAGAAAGTACTTTCGGTTTTATTACTTGCCTCAGGAGTAGAGATTTGAAATAGACTTATGAAGCTACAAAGTTGTTTCTTTTCTTTTTTTTTAATGTCTTTTGGAAAAGGAGCTCATGCATCTATACTTCCAGTGACCATGCCTTATCTAGTGTCATTTTTTTCTGCCCTTAGCACCTGATGAAGATAAGCTATGATGTAGTTAAGCGCTGGGTCAATGAAGCCCAAGAAGCTGCTACAAGTGACAATATTATGGTCCAGGTATGGATATTGAATTATTTTAGCTTCTGTCTCAAGATCAGCTTTCTTTAACCCTACATTGCAAGGGCAATTTATTGATTCCAAAAAATGAGTATTAGCTAAAGGCTAATATTAAGCAGCCTGTGAGTGCATATTCTCAAGTAGGTATCCCACTAATTATGATTACTACCATAGGCCCTGCTAGTGTTCAATTGGAGCTGTAAGAAGGTTAGAGAAAGCTTCTTATATTCAGTAGCAGTTTTAGAGGCTCATTCCAAAGGTCCTTCACAGTGCATTTCAATCCTTTATTTGAAAAATAAATTGTGAAAAAGGATGTTCAATTCCAGGCTTTTCAGGCCTTGATTATAGTAAACATTATAACAACAGTAAAGAGTAATTTTTACATTGTGAAACTTTAGTACCATTTTGTTGGAAATATCTCCTTTTGATATTCATTAGGCTGTTCCTAATTAAAAGGAACAAGGTTAAATCCTTAACTGGCAATTTTATGTAAAGTACCCCATTTGTGTTTGAGAGGGTACTTACTTATCCCCTTTCTGTGTTTATAACTTCTCATGTTAGCATACTCAGTTATGAGGAAACACAGTAGTTATTTTTCTCATGGGAAATATTCTCACTCTCCTAATTCCATTATTGTGCCTTTACACAAAGTGCCGTGATAATATTCGTGCACTCCTAAAGCCTTCTTCAGGAGATGTGATCCCTTAACTTCTGACATGGTCACAGGTGATTTAAAGCCACTTGAAGGCCTGCCACACTGGTAAAGCCATGGACCTGAGACCTTTGTACTAAGGATGAATGGGGCAAGGCTGACTTGCCAGATGTACCCTCAGATTGTATGTTACCTTCTTAAGACTTCTCCAATCTAAATTTACACCTTCTGGGGATAAATTCGAAACTCGTATCCTTTCAGTCTTTCCTGTGTTTGATTCAAAGTAAAAAGCTATACTATCTGTATACTTTTGACCTGAGAATCTTTTTATTAAAAAATCTAGTTGCATATGATTCTACTTTCATGTAATTTTGTCTTCTTCCTACTCAGTTTTATGTATGTTACATTCTTTTTCTTGTTCTTTAGTACCATGCATTGGGAGTCCTGTATCACCTTAAAAAGAACGATCGCCTTGCTGTTTCTAAGATGTTAAATAAGTTTACAAAATCCGGTCTCAAATCACAATTTGCTTACTGCATGCTGATCCGAATTGCCAGTCGCTTACTAAAAGAAAATGAAGAGGGGTAAGTGTCTTCATCTAAACTTAAGTAATTTTTCCTTTGCTGGTAAATATGCCTCAGAATTTATTTCCTTAATGAATATTTTTTGGGCATTGCTGACTTTACAGATTTTATATTTTCTGAATTAAAAAAAAGAATCATCGAATTCCAAGTAACTCAACTTCTAAAAAAATTTAATATATGCTCTGGTATATGTATTTAATAGAGTATGATTGTTAATATAATAGCAAATTGACCTGAAACAAAAAATCCTTAAATGTGGAAACCGGAAGTAACATTAAGAATCTTTTTTTATCCCTTTTATTTTTATAAAAGAGACTACTGAAGTATTGTATTTCATTATTTATTTATTTAAATTATTTAAAGGGCAGGAGGGAGAAAAATAGAATTACATATGTAAGGTTCTTATATTTTTCATGAAGCGGTATTATATTATTTGATGGTAGTCTGTGGTAATATAAGGATAAATACTGTGATCTCTTGAGTACCCACTAAAAACACCTGAAAGATATAATGTAAATGTTAACAGAGAAGATAAAATAGAATATCCAAAAATATTCAGTTGAACTTCCTACAGTGGTGGAGTAGCTTGGTCATATTAGCGCTCTTGCAAATAATGATTATATAATAGTATAAAACTATTAACCCCCCTCGCCCCCCGCCCCCCCCCAAAAAAAACACAAAAAAAATAAGAAACCCCACAACTATTTGGAAGTACTGGTGATTCATGAAAAGGAGGCAAAAACTGGAGGGAAGTTGATGCCTGGACAGCTGAAGCTATACTGGGTGAGATTTGGGTATTTCTGGGTAGTCTCCTAGGGCAGTTCCCAATTTTCAGGTGGGATCACAGGAAGGTATAGTATTTACTGGACAGAGGGGTCAGAACACAGTTTGAGATTAGAAGAGTGATGAAAACTTAGGGTGGAAAACCTGGAAAGGAGGGAACCACAAATGGGTTAGCCTCAAAATCAATTTTAATCTACAAAAATCCTTGGTTGGCCCATGAACTGTGCACATACAGGGGAAGACTGTAGGAAACCTGGTGAGCAGTAGTAGCTCTGAACTGAAAGAACTCAGTGGAGAATTCAGTTGCAGCTCACTCTGGAGGAAATAAAGTTTGGAGTTTGAGCCAGGTTGACTGCCTGGTAGAGAAACATCATGCATTCTGGAATCTTTACCTCATGTCATTCAGTGTCTGTAGTCATGTACCACACAATGCTGTTTTGGTCAATGATGGACCAGATATGATGGATTATAATAAAGCTGAAAATTTCCTATTGCCTAGTGATGTTGTAGCTGTCATAATGTGATACCACCACACATTGCTTGCATGCTTGTGATGATGCTGATGTAAACAAACCTACTACATTGCCAGTCATGTAAAAGTATAGCACATACAATTATGTACAACGCCTATTATTTGACACTGATATTAAACAACTATGTTACTGGTTCATGAGAACCAAGATGGCGGCATAGGTTAACGCCGGAGTTTGCCGCCTCGAACAACCATTTCAAAAGTGAAACTAAAAGACGGAAGGGACATCACCCAGACCCACAGGAACGCTAGGAGGAAAGAGTAACGTATACGGACACTCAGAGGAGGCGCAGTGCTGAAGTCAAATTCTGAGGTGCGGAGTGCGCGG